GGTCAAGTATTTTAAAACATAGTTTTTAATATTTAAATGTCAATCTTACACTTATTTTTAGTGTGCTAAAATGTACATAATATAAAATTTACCATTTTAATAAATTCTAATTGTAGAGTCTGTAACATTAAATATTTTACATTATTGTGCAATCATCATCATCATCTTCCATCTCCAGAACTTTTTCATCTTCCCAAACTGAAACTTGATATGCATTAAGCAATAATTTTCCAATGCCTCCTCCTCTTATACCCTGGCAACCATCATTCCACTTTCTGTCTCTGTGAATTTGAGTACTCTATGTGCTTCGTATAAGTGTAATCACACACTATTTGTATTTTTGTGACTGTTATTTCATTAAGCATAATGCTTTGCAATTCATCCATGTTATAGTATATGTCAGAATTTTCATTCTTTTAAGGTTCAATGATAATCAATTGTGTATATATCACATATTATTTATCCATTCATTGATATACACTTAGTTTGCTTCCACCTTTTGGCAGTAGATAATGCTGCTATGAACTAGGGTGTACAAATATGTGTTCAAGTTTTTGCTTTAATTCTGTAGGGTATATATCTAAAAGTGACATTACTGAATCATATGCTAATTCTATGTTTAATTTTTTCAGGAACTATCATCCTGTTTTTTATAGTGGCTGCACAACTTTACATTTCCAGTATCAGTGTACAAAGGTTCCAATTTCTCCATGTTCTTGTCAACAGTTGTTGCTTTATGTCTTTCTGTGGGGTTGTTCCCCCTCACCAGGTTCACAAAGGTTATCTACACTAATAAAAGAGAAACATGGTAATTAGCGTACAACCGCTACCCTTCCCATTGGCTAATCAGCATATCCTTATGCAAATTAACTGTCAGCCAAGATGGCGGCTGGCAGCCATGCACTGAAGCGAGCAGGGAGGCTTGCTTGCTCCAGTGACGGCGAATTCCAACGTTCCCCGCCTGCCACTGCCGGCCTCTCAGCTGCAACTCTAAGCAACTATGTACTATGTTGCAAATAAGAAGCTAAACAAAACCCCAGAAACCGGCTTTCATTCAGCCGGGCTTCAGCCAGCCGACCGCAACATTGTATCGATGTTTTCAGCAGCGAGGCCTCAGAGCTAAAGCTGGCCCAGAATAAAAAAGAAAAGAAAAAAGGAGCATTTGGGAGCTTCAGTCACCCGCTTCCGGAAAACAGCCCTCAGCCCCTCACCCAGACTGGCCAGGCACCCCAGTGGGGACCCCCACCCTGATGCAGGACACCCTTCAGGGCAAACCAGCCGGCTCCCACCCATGCACCAGGCCTCTATCCTATATAGTAAAAGGGTAATATGCCTCCCGGCACTGGGATCAGCGTGACAGGGGGCAGCGCCCAAACCCCCTGATCAGCCACGCTCTGTGCCTGATAGGGGGGAGCTCCCCAACCCCCTGATCGACCCTGCTCTGTGTGTGACAGGGTACGGAGCCCCAACCCCCCTGATGGGCCTTGCTCTGTGAGTGACAGGGGGTAGCGCCCCAACCCCCTGATTGGCCATGCTCTGTGAGTGACAGGGGGCAGCGCCCCAACCCCCTGATTGGCCCTGCTCTGTGAGTGACAGGGGTCAGCGCCGCAACCCCCTGATTGGCCCTGCTCTGTGCGTGACGGGGTGGCGCCACAACCTCCCCATCGACCCTGCCTTGAGTGTGACAGGGGGCGGTGCCCCAACCCCCCAATTGGCCCTACCCTGAGCGTGACTGAGGGTGGCATCACAACCTCCCGATCCACCCTGCTCTGTGCATGACAGGGGGCGGCGCCCCAACTCCCCAATAGGCCCTGCTCTGAGCCCGACCAGGAGCTGCACCTAGGGATTGGGCGTGCCCTCTGCCACCCGGGAGCAGGCCTAAGCCAGCAGGTCGTTATCTCCCAAGGGGTCCCAGACTGCGAGAGGGCACAGGCCGGGCTGGGGGACCCTCCCCCCCCCCCCAGTGCACAAATTTTTGTGTACCGGGCCTCTAGTATATATATATGATGTTTGCAGCAGGTCAACAATTTACATGTTTATTTTAATTTAATTAAATTAAAAATATTGTTGACAGTATTACAGATGGCCCCCAATTTTCCCCCCTTTACCCCCCTACTCTGAGCCTTCACCACACTATTGTCTGTGTCCATTGGTTATGAATAAAAGTTCTTTGATTAATCTCTTCCCATCTCCCTTGCTCCCATCTGAGATATATCAGTTTGTTTCATGCCTCTGGACCTGTTTCATTTGTCAGTTTATTATGTTCATTAGATTACACTTATAAGTGAGATCCTGTGATATTGGTCTTTTTCTAACTGGTTTATTTCACTCAGCATAATATTCTCCAATCCATCCATTCTGTGGCAAAGGGTAAGAGATCTTTCTTTTTTAGGGCCAGGTAGTATTCCATTGTATAAATATACCATAGCTTTTTTTCCCATAATATTATTTTTTTATTTTTTTATTGTCTACAGTTTTACATATGTCTCCTTTTTCCCCAATTGACACGCCCCCCAGTCATCCCAACCCTGGGCAAGCCCCCACCACCCCAGTGTCTGTGTCCATTGGTTATGCTAATATGCATGCATACAAGTCCTTTGGTTGCTCTCTAACCTCCCCTCCTCCCCCACCATTTGTCTCTTACCATAGCTTTTTTAGCCACTCAACTACTGATGGGCACTTGGGCTGTTTTTTGATCTTAGCTATTATAAATAATGCTGCTATGAACATAGGGGTGCATATATTTTTTCTGATTGGTGTTTTGGGATTCTTAAGATATATTCATAGAAATGGAATCACTGGGTCAGACAGTAATTCCATTTTACTTTTTTTTAGTAAATTCCATACTGTTTTCCATAGTGCCTGCACCAATCTGAATTCCCACTAGCAGTGTATTAGGTTTCCCTTTTGTCCACATCCTTGCCGGGACTTGTTGTTTGTTAATTTGTTGATGGTAGCCATTCTGACAGGTGTGAGGTGATATCTCATTGTAGTTTTAATTTGCATCTCTGTGATGATTAGTGACATTGAACATTTTCTCATATGTCTATTAGTCATCTGTATGTCCTTTTTGGAGAAGTGCCTATTCAGGTCTTGTGCTCATTTTTTAAT